CACTTTCATCTTTAAGGGCCTTACGAGGGGGTATTGTAAAGTTTTGATTATCACCTTTAACTATTTTTACAGAAAGTTTGTTTTGATTTGTTGTTAACTTATCTCTATATATGCACCATCCAGATTTACACATTTTTCCTAATGTTTCTTGACCATCTGAATAGAGTTATTATAGAAGTCTGCAGATTACCCCTTTAACCACTCTTCCACTTCATGAATGATGTCATCTGTGTTGTCAAATTGGTGACCTCACAAAGGATTTTTCATTTTTGGGAAAAGAAAAAGTCAGTTGGTGATGATGACACTGTCAAAATTTCATCAATATACCATAATAACGTCTGGGTGATAGTTATTACTTTACAATATCCCCTCGTATATCAAGTTTTCCTGGCTGAAGGTAATTTGTGATTTTTTGGAAGGTCTTGATAAACTGTGACTTTGGCATGCACAAAAATTCTTTATAAAAATATTGTAGGTCAGCCCCAAACTGATAGTTCTGACTTTCAAAGTCTAGCTGCCATTTCTTTATGTAAGTCAGGATTCTTTGACTGCCTCATGTGGCACTTCAACTTTAGAAAGTAGCTCCTTCCTGGCTGAATTTATTCATTTCCTGAATGAAAAGTTTCCCAACTGCTTTTGCATTTTTAATGTGGGAAATAATCAAAAAACAATGCCACATCAGCACGAAAGAATTCTAATTTTAAAATGCTCCTAATTTGGTGCCCTAGTGACTCTTCAAATGATTCCTAATTTTAGGATAAAAAGCATGTTTTCTGCAACATAGTCAAGCAGGATGACATCTCCATTCTTCATGAAGCTGAATGCTGCTTGTGAACATCCTTGGGCTGCATGGTTTGTGCAGTAGAAAACAAAGATGCAGCTAAAATACAGCGCTTAGATCCCCTTACTTAGAAACGTGTTCCAGAGAGTTCAGTAAGATTTCCTTTTTGGTTGCAGTCCTATAATCAGAGCTATTGATACTGGTTCTAATTTAAAATGATTTTTATTCCTATCAAGGTAATGTGAACTTAATCACACCGTAACTCTTTACAGGACTTGGAGTGTATAAATAGAGATCTGGTACATCCTTTTTGCATTATGGCTTCCTGCTATTATAATTGGGAAGTTTTCCTACCATTTTTGTTGTTGTGTGCCTTCAAGTCATTTCCAACTA